CAGAAAGAAAGAGAAAGAAAGAAAGAGAGAAAGAAAGAGTGTGTAAGGGGCAAAGGGCAGCCGTGGTGGGTTAGGTAACCAGAAAAAGCTCAGCGAACAAGGGTTTGTCATGCAGATTGTAGTTGTTGCTTTCTCCATTGATAAGGGTTCCTAGTAATTTAGAGTCATCCTTCTCCTCTTGATCCAGAGAGGGAGATACCCTTACACGTGGAGATTTCCTTTAGAGATGCAAATTTCCCTTACAAAAGAGTAACTCCTACTCTGTTTTTAGAGCTTCTCTTGTGTCTGCAGTTTCTCAAAATAATCAGCTCTAAATAATCCTTATGCCAATGAGGCATATTTTGGAGTGGTAGCTTCTGGTCTGCTGCAGTCTTATTTTGGGGTGGCATATTTCTGGTTCTCCACAACAGTTTTGCACCGTGTACAGATATTCCACAATTTGTTTATCCATTTTCCTATTGCTGGACATCTGAATTCTTTGGGGCTGTTATGCACACATAACAGTTTGGGGCTGTTATGCACACATCAGCGATGAATATTCAGGTAAGAGTCTTGTGTAGCCATATGGCATCGATCTCATATAAATATCTAGGCGTGAGATTGGTGAGATTTATGGTGTGTGTATTAGAAGTGGACAAACTGTTTCCAAAGTAGTTGTACTGCCTGACATCCTCACCAGCAAATTATGAATGTTCTATTTGCTTCTAATCCTCTACAACACTTGATATTGTCAATCTTTTTTTTTTTCAGTCAGAATCTCCCACTGTCACTGAGGCTGGAGGACAGTGGCACAGTCTTGGCTCACTGCAGCTTCAAACTCCAGGGCTTAAGTGATCCTCCCAGCTCAGCCTCCAGAGCAGCTGGGACCACAGGTGTGCACCATCACACTTGCCTAATATATTTTTTTAATTTTTATTTATTTATTTATTTTGTAGAGACAGAGTCTCACTGTGTTGCCCAGTGTGAGAGATTGGGAAGTTCTTCTTCCAAGTTTGTATAACTACATTATGAGTTACAATCTCTTGCTCTATGGCCATTATCTGCTATTAGCATAAACATATACCCATGTATGTATATTCTCTATTCTCTTTTTTTATTTTTTTAAATTAAGAAAAAAAAATTTTTTTTAATTTATTTTTAATTTATTTTAATACTTTTTCTTTCTTTTTTTTTTAAAGACAGGGTTTCACCATGTTGGCCAGGCTGGTCTTGAACTCCTGACCTCAGGTGATCCTCCTGCCCCGGCCTCCCAAAGTGCTGAGATTACAGGTGTGAGCCACCAAACCCGGCCTTTTTTTTTTTTTTTTCAAGATGGGGTTTCACCGTGTTGGTCAGGCTGGTCTTGAACTCCTGACCTCAGGTGATCTGCTCGCTTTGGCTTCCAAAGTGCTTGGATTACAGGCATGAGCCACCACACCCGCCCATATTCTCTATTCTCTAAAGCAGCTACGTCTTTTTCGTTTTTTTTTTTTTTTGAGACAGAGTCTCACTCCATTGCCAGGTACCAGGCTGGAGTGCAGTGTCGCGATCTCAGCTCACTGCAACCTCTGCCTCCCAGGTTCAAGCAATTCTCCTGCCTCAGCCTCCCAAGTAGCTGGGACTAGAGGTGCATGCCACCACACCCAGCTAATTTTTCTATTTTTTTAGTAGAGACGGGGTTACACCATGTTGGCCAGGATGGTCTCGATACCTTGACCTCATGATCCGCCCGCCTCGGCCTCCCAAAGTGCTGGGATTACAGGCCTGAGCCACCACGCCTGGCCCAGCAGCTACGTCTTAAATCAGTTACCTTGACTCGCTCTGACATGTCTGAACAGGACTGGGCAAGCTCCAAACCCTGGTGCATGCCACTCCTTATTTGGAAACCCTCCTGACCCTCTCCTGACTTCCTCTCCTTCCTTGTCTTCTTTCCCCCTTATCTGCTCAGGAAATTTCCAAGTTCTTAGCCAGTCGGGTCAAGCATAGAATATGAGGTCCTGTTCCAGCCAATGGAAAATGGACACAGTAGTAGAGCGATTGCATCAGGTTATGAAAGTTATAAATGTCCCTGTCTCCTTTGTTTAGGTGTGCTCTCGTGGCAAGACTGACGGTGAATTGGGCCCTTTCTGCAGGAAGTAAACTAGGCTTGCTGAGCAATCCATTGTCTCGGTGTGGATTTTCTTGGTGTTATAAACCCGTTTCTAACGCCCAGGCTAGTCTTGAACTCCTGGGCTCAAGCAATCCTCTGGCCTTGGCCTGCCAAAGGGCTGAGATTACAGGGCATATGTCATGGTGTTTTGGCAAAATGTTTTAAATTATAACCATTCTAGTAGAAGTGATTGTGACTTTAATTTGATCATTGTGATTTAATTTGCATACTAATGATATTGAACATCTTTTCGTGTACTTACAGCATGCTCATCTACTTTGTTTTGTGAGATGTCTGTTCAAGTGTATTGCCCATTAAAAAAAAATGGGGCTGGGTTTTGTGGCTCATGCCTATCATCCCAACACTTTGGGAGGCCAAGAAGGGAGGATCACTTGAGACCAGGAGTTCCAGACCTGCCTGGGCAACTTAGTGAGACCTGGTATGTACAAAACATTTAAAAATCAGCTGGGCATGGTGGTGGACATCTGTAGTCTCAGCTACTTGGAGGCTGAGTTGGTAGGATTGTTTGAACCCAGGAACTTAAGGCTGCAGTGACCTGTGATGCACCGCTGTAGTCTAGCCTGAGCAACAGAACAAGACCCTCTTTTTCTGTCTTTTTTTTGGATGTGGAATCTCACTCTGTCACGTGATCGTAGCTCACTGTGGCCTCAACCTCCTGGGCTCGAGCAAGCCTCCCACCACAGCCTCCTGAGAAGCTGGGATTTCAGGCATGAGCCACCACACCCGACTAATTTTTGTATTTTGTATAGAGATGGGATTTTGCCATATTGCCCATACAGGTCTCGAACTCCTGGGCTCAAGAGATCCTCAGCCTCCCAAAGTGCTGGGATTACAGGCGTGAGGCTTTGTGCCTGGCTGACTTGTCTTATTTGTTAACAGAATGCTGTGCTTTCTGTGTTCAGAAGGAAGGATGTTATGCTGTGCTTGCCCCTGTTGGTAGCAGGGAGGTGGGAAGGCGACCACTGTGAAAATCCAAGGGAAAGGTGAGCATAGTTTGCTCAGGATGTTGGCAGGGAGGGCTAGGTGGTAAAACATGGTTGCATTTGAGATCTGTTTTGAAGGAGGAGACATTAGGATTCACTGGTTGTTGGCTGTGGATGACTGTATGATTTTTACCCTAAGCTGCTGGAAGCCTGGAGTCATGACCATCCATGGAGAGAGAAGATGGATGGATCAACAGAGTGGGGAGCAGGCTGGGGTGTGCACTTGGGAGCTCAGTCCAGGACACATGGACCCAAGATGCTATCAGCGGCCCTGAGGAGGTGTTACATAAGCACTTGGCTCTCTGAATCCGGAGGCATCTGGCTTGGAGATGGAAATACGGGTGTCTGTCCACTTCAGGGAGATAGACCACGTAAAGCCTTGAAGTGCATGGGATCATCAAAGGAGTAGAATCCCTGGCCCTGGAAGGCCTCTGCAATTCCCCTAATCCAAGGCTCACATTTCACAGGGGAAAGAAAAAGTGTTAAGAGAAGCCTAGGTTGGGCGAGGTGGCTTGTGCCTGTGAAACCAGCACTTTGGGAGGCTGAGATGGGCAGATTGCCTGAGGTCTGGAGTTCGAGACCAACCTGGCCAACATGGTGAAACCCCATCTCTACTAAAAATACAAAAAATTAGCTGGGTATGGTAGTGGGCGCCTGTAATCACAGCTACTTGGGAGGCTGAGACAGGAGAATCTCTTGAACCCAGGGGACAAAGTTTGCAGGGAGCCGAGATTGAGCCATTGTATTCCAGCCTGGCAAGAATAGTGAAACACTGTCTCAAAACAAAACAAAACAAGGCCGGGAGTGGTGGCTCAGGCCTGTTATCCCAGCACTTTGGGAGGCCGAAGCGGGCAGTACACGAGGTCAAGAGATAGAGACCCGTCTGGCCAACATGGTGAAAACCCATCTCTACTAAAAATATAAAAATTAGCTGAGCATGGTGGCATGCACCTGTAGTCCCAGATACTTGGGAGGCTGAGGCAGGAGAATGGCTTGAAGCAAGGACGGGGAGGTTGCCGTGAGCAGAGATCCTGCCACTGCACTCCAGCCTGGGCAACAGAGTGAGACTCAGTATCAAAACAAAACAAGAAGCCCAGCCAGGCGAGGTGGGTCACACCTGTGATCCCAGAACTTCGGGAGGCTGAGATGGGTGGATAACCTGAGGTCAGGAGCTCAAGACCAGCCTGGCCAACATGATGAAACCCCATCTCTATTAGAAATACAAAAATTAGCTGGGTGTGGTGTTGGGCACCTGTAATCCCAGGTACTCAGGAGGCTGAGGCAGGAGAATCGCTTGAACCTGGGAGGCGGAGGTTGCAGTGAGCCAAGATCGCGCCATTGCACTCCAGCCTGGGTGACGGAGCAAGACTCGGTCTCACACACACACACACACGCCCAGAGAGGGGAGGTTATTTATTGCTGTAGATCAGAGGTTCCTAACCCCTGGGCTACAGAGCAGTTCCAGTCTGTGGTCTGTTAGGAACCGGCTGCATAGCAGGAGGTGAGCGGTGGGCTCTAGTGAAGCTGAGCTCCTCCTTTCAGATCAACGGCAGCATTGGATTCTCATAGGAGCGCGAACCTTATTATGAACTGCATAGGTGAGGGATCTAGGTTGCTTGCTCCTTATGATAATCTAATGATAAACGTCATGTGCTTGAAGCATCCAGAAGCCATCTTTCCTCCACCCTCCACTCAGTCCCAGGAAAAATTTTCCTCCACGAAACTGGTTCCTGGTGCCAAAAACACTGGGGACCATTGGTATATGCTTTGTCCCTGCAAAGTTTGTGTGTTGAAATGTACCCCACAATGTGATGATATTAGAAGGTGAGGCTTTGGGAGGTGATTAGGTCATAAGGGCACAGCCCTCATGAATGAGATTCGTGCCCTTATAAAAGGGATCTTTGCTGCTCCTAAGAGCTTGCTCACCCCTCCACCATGTGAGGACACACTGACAAAGTGCCATCTATCAACCAGAAAAGGGGCCCTCGGCAGACACCGAATCTACCAATGTCTTAATCTTGGACTTTTCAGCTCTCGGAACTGTGAGAAATAAATTTCTGTTGTCTATGGCATTTTTTTTTTCTTGAGACGGAATCTTGCTCTGTTGCCCAGGCTGGAGTGCAGTGGCAGGATCTCGGCTCACTGCAACCTCCACCTCCCGGTTCAAGGAATTCTCCTGCCTCAGCCTCCTGAGTAGCTGGGATCACAGGCACAAGCCACCGCACTCAGCTAATTTTTTATATTTTTAGTAGAGATGGAGTTTTACCAGATTGCCCAGGTAGGTCTCGAACTCCTGAGGTCTGGCAATTCACGCACCTTGGCTTCTCACTGTGCTGGGATTACAGGTGTGAGCCACCCTGCCCGGCTGGCCTTTCTTTCTTTCTTTCTTTCTTTTTTGAGACAGAGTTTTGATCTTGTTGCCCAGGCTGGAGTAGAGTGGTGAGATCTTGGCTGAGGCTGCAATCTCCACCTCCCAGATTCAAGTGATTATCCTGCCTCAGCTTCCTGAGTAGCTGAGATTACAGGCATGCACCACCATGCCTGGCTAACTTTCCTATTTTTAGTAGAGATGGGGTTTTGCCGTGTTGGCCAGGCTGATGTCAAACTCCTGGCTTCAGGTGATCCACTTCCCTCGGCCTCCCAAAGTGCTGGGATTACAGGCATGAGCCACCACACCTGGCCTAGGCTAGGAGTACCCCCACCCCCGCCCTGCCAGGCTAGGAGCTTTCAAAGATAGTTTGGTGGGCAGGGAAAACTTGTAAAGACATTTGACATTTGAAAAGATCCACGGTAGATTCTATCATCGTGATGTTCTCTGCAAGAGTAATTGGGGAAGCTGGCAATCTTAGGACCTCTGAAATAATGGCTGGGAATTATTTAGAATTCTGGGCCCTTCCATCCTCCTAACTCGGTGGCTTTTATTTTTATTTTTTGAAACAAGGGCTTGCTCTGTTGCCCAGGCTGGAGTGCAGTGGCATGATCTTGGCTCACTGCAACCTCTGCCTCCTGGGTTCAAGCAGTTCTCCTGCCTCAGCCTCCTGAGTAGCTGGGATTACAAGTGCCTGCCACCACACCTGGCTAATTTTTGTATTTTTTAGTAGAGACGGGGTTTCACCATGTT